ATTTTTATAAAATATTTTCCCCTTTTGCTTATAACCTCTTTTTCTTCCTTTTTTCTCTTTTTTTTTTTTCTCCTCCACCATATCGGATGAGGTCGATGGTGATGATGTCTGCAATAATAGAGCCGATGGTGATAAGCAATGAAGAGAGTTGTCGATAGCAACATGCATAAGTGGCAAAGAGTGATTGAGGATAGGCTAAGTCAACGATTAACGATGGAATATATATATATATATATATATATATATATATATATATATATATAATTAAAAGGGTTATGAATAGTAAATATATTTTTTAATTTTTTTTAAGAAATTATAAATAGTAAGGTGGGACTCTAAATAGTACATTTCTTAAATAAAAAACTAAAAACAGGCATCCTATGAGACAAACCCATAGGAGTTTTATTTGAAAGAAATTGCCTTTGAAAATATACTTTTAAACTTGGATATTTTTATTTTTGAAAGATGATTATGGTGATATTGATTAAGACAATAATATGAATGAAATAAAAAAAAGGAACTAAAAAAAATAAAAATATATGATATAATTATTCAATAAAAATTACAGTATGACTATGATTTAGATCTTACGAATGAATGCTATACATTGACATTTGTTCAGGAATTGCTTATTTCTTCTAAGCAATGACATAATGACACAGAAGTTAATATTAAATATGATTATGATCTTTGGGCTGGATGGATGATGATGTCATGATGGTGTCCACCGTGTCGAGCAGTAGACAAAAACAATGATAATTTATATGATCGATTGATTAGGTCACATTAGACTTAAAAGAGGCAGACTTGGATTTCTTGTCTCGAGTGAGAAAAGAAACATGATTTCTTCTTGTCTACAATTACATTATCCACCTTCAAATATGTCCATAAATACATTTTATTCATATCTAGTTTAATCGTAGGTCAAACTATGATTTAGCTTATTTTTCTCTTCGAAATATCGTATTAAAAATCGATAAGTTTGGATCAAACCGGTAATAGCAATTCAACTCATTTTTATCATGTTAGAAATCGATAAATTGGAGCTAAACCCAAGAATTTAAGCTTGTCGAATTATAGGACAGACCCAAAATACATAATTTGATTCTCATAATTTTAAGAATGTAAAACTATTCTCTTAGTTATTTTTGAATTTTTACTTTTTTAAGTATGAATATTTTTTAGCATAAAAATATTTTTTTAATCAATCAGAATCAAGTATCAAATAGTGTGATTTGTGACTTCCTTAAGTAGGGATAAATCAATCTTACTGACTTTATAAGGTAGAACACAATTTGTTTACTAGCATAATGGATGGATTAACATTATGATAATATCATAATTCAAAATTAGGAGCTATATATATATATATATATATATATATATATATATATATATATGGTTTAATTAAGATATATTTGTTATATTTTGTGATCTTTATAATTGGATAAGATATATATAATATAACTAATTGGATTCATAACATATATTTGGTAAATAGATGACAGAGGTTATCTTAGTTGAGAAATTACATTATCTCTCTCACTCTTTTCCCTAACCATCAATTTAATATTATAGTAGTTCTTTTTTTATTTCAATCCTGACATAAAAGATTGTTTTCATATTTAAAACAACATATTATAGATTTTATGCTAATAATATTATGTAGAAAAATATTCATGTAAGAGTCTCAAGTAATATGGTTGATGAAGATAATTGGCTCAATAATTTTTTTAAAATTAAATTATTGAGCCAAACAACTTATGCTTATTCCTCTTAATAGAAAATATAATTTAAATATTTATTTATTTTTGACATGAGATGATTAAATTGGAGCATAATAAATATTAAGACTATACAAGAAAGATGAGTCTCATTTTTTAAACAGAAGATAGAAGCTCAAATTGATATCTCTTTTTTAAAATGGTAAACAATTTCTTTTTCCTATGCAATCTCATTCCAAATTGACACTAAAATTGGAACAATTTCTAAAGTTAACCAAGAATAAGCTACATAGGAGATAATTTTTTATCTCAAATTCAAAATCATTCAGAAAAAAAAGGATTTTGTCGAATGAATGAATGAATTAAAAACTCTATGATTTCATGCAATAAATACAAATATTATTATCCGAGTTCGATTAATCAAGATTTTTATTGAGACATTCGAATTGATTAGTGTATTATTATATAAATGATGGATCTCAAATTCGAATTCACCGCATAAAAAAAATATTAGGATCTCGAAATATATTAAGCGTCCAAACTAAGTAGACATCGACATTTATGATTGTTTTGACTTTTTGGATCTCGATTCAAAATTTTAATTCATTTATGCTTCCGAGTTAGGATTAATGTTAAAAGAAAAGAAAAATGTTTGTTTTGGGCTGAGGTCGGGTCAGAGATCGGCCCATCAGACCCCGATGGTGGATATCAGCATATGGACGGCTGAGATCGTCTGAAGGGGAGGAGATGCAGGGATGGGGAAGCGGTGTTGGAACTCTCTAGACTCTTGTGGAAGGATCCTTTTCCCTCCCTTCTCCCCTCTCTCACGCTTCGTATATAAGTGTCAACGGCAGATTGATTGCCCAAACGCTACATCGAACTGAGCTTTACGTATCAGAGATCCTCCCTTTTCTCGCCTTCTCCTCCTCTCTTCCCTTCCAAGATGAGGTAAGACGACGAAAACTTTGTTTAGCCAATTTTTTGTTCGGTTATCTTTAGTACTAATCCCGTGAGGTTAGGGTTTTAGTTTGTGCTGTTGTGGGTTAGGTTTGAATGGAAGGATGTGCCCTTTCTTGGCCAGGTGAAAGATTGACGTCGGAAAACAACATTCGATTGCAATTTATGTTTTGATCATGCTGATTTATCTGCTTCTTACTGCAGTCGAGAACGATTCGTAGTGGGTGTATAAGAACCGAAGCCACCTTGAGTTGGTGGACCTCTCTGCGAGTCTGTGTTACGTTTTAGCCTGTGTAGCTTCTGGATCTAAACCGCACTATGCCTCTTTTCTTCGTTTTTGTTTTGGCATTTACAATGATTGGTGATACAAAGCATACGTAACGGCAATTTTGTTTTTGTTGTGCCCATGTCTTCTCTGTGATAGAATCGATGAACTCGGAGCTGATCGTGCTTGTTATGACATCGAAATATGTTCACTAGTTTTAGTATAAACTTCGATTATATGTGTTTGAAGAACCATCCGACTTGTGCCGACCATAATTTGAATCTAGCTTGCTTATCTTTGTTTAAGAAGAGAAAAGATCCGTACTTGCCGGGGAGAGGTGTTCATGGTGGAATGGGTGGATGTAGCTCTTGATGTCTAAGAGTAGATTCTTTGGTGATTCAGCATACTTGATTTTTGTTAAGTAAATGTTCATCTCGGACCATCAATACTTTAGTGAACTGATGGACGTTCCTTGGTCTGCAGCCGTCATCCGACTACAAAATGGGCTCAAAGATCTGACAAGGTGTATATTACTATTGAACTGCCAGATGCGAAGGATGTGAAGCTCACGTTGGAGCCAGAAGGTCGTTTCTATTTCTCTGCAACTAGTGGAACAGCAAACATCCGGTACGAGCTCGACCTTGAGCTGTTCGATAGAGTTATTGTTGATGTAAGTATCCAAAGAAACTATTTTAACTTCTCGAAGGTCCCCTCAAAAAACTTTCATTTGAGGCACTGGTTTGACAAGAAGCACTGCAGGAGAGCAAAGCTGCTGTTGGCTTGAGGACTATATGCTACCTGGTGAAGAAAGCTGAGAAGAAATGGTGGAGCAGGCTGTTAAAGCAGGCAGGGAAGCCTCCTGTTTATCTGAAAGTTGATTGGGACAAATGGATCGATGAAGATGATGAGAAGGAAAATAAGTGTAAATACTCTGCATCTCATAATACATTTCTGTTCTAGCTTATTATGTTTGTGCAAATTGCTATCTTTGTTGCAACTTTTTATGATTTTTGAAATATTATCCTGTGCAGTTGGGGGCATGGATTTTGATGACATGGATTTTTCGGTATGTCATCTGGTCAAAATGTTAAGGAAAAACTTTTGAGTGATACTCTTTGTAGATTCTCATCTTTCTTGCAATGTGCAGAAGTTGGACGTGGGTGGTGCTGATGATGAGCCTGATGATGATGATGATTTGGCTGATACTGCCGATAGAGATGGAGGTTAGTCTTGTTCTGTCTGCTTGGGCATGAGAACAGCAATATATATTGTGATCATCAGTTCTTTGGTTATTCATTTGAATGATAATATAGTGTGAGATACCTTTATGATAGATAGACAACAGTCTAGGCAGAGCAAGTTTGTCTAATGTTCTTATTGAAATCTACCTATTTGTGCTTAGGCATTAAAGGAAAATGCAGTAGGTTAGTCGAAAGGAATTATTGCAATTGTTTGTTCAACCTGCATATCTAAAATCATATTGCGAAGAACACCCATGCATTGTATGCTGCATAATCTGGCTTCTTCAGCTGATATCAATTTACTGTGGTTATTCCAGAGGATGCTGATATGGAAGAGGCCAAGGCAGAGGGAGGAAAGGTGGAGCCTGCACAGGCGGCATCTACTAATGAAGCTGTAGACAAAGCATGACCAATATCTGGCAGCTTCATGCTGTGGAAGCCTCGTCTTGTGGAGGTCCATTGCTTCTGTTAACATAGATGACAAACTTATTGTTTGGGTCATGTCTTTTAGTGGATGTCTCTTAAAATCTCATCCTGTGGAGGACGATTACTTATGTTAATATAGATGACAAGCTAGTTTTTTACTCCGTGTGAGTCTTTAGCTATGATCACAATGATATTTCTTGGTCTGTGTTGGATATATTTATGGATTTGATATTTATCAAATGCAGCAGAATCCTGTGTATTCCTGAGTTCATCTTTATGAGCATTTCTTATGTCCAGTATCTTCCTTTATGATGGGAAGAACTTCGCTGCCTAAAATATCTACTTATCTGTTGAGTTTTGAAGCTATTAACCGTCCAAAAGCAGGCTTGGATGCAGCAAGATTTGGTTTGTCTATCCAACATTCCCAATCATGACCAACGAAAGTTTCTAGTGATTAAATGTGCTTGAGAAAACTTTGTGCAGATCAAAGGATATTGGATCCTACAATATCGTAAGATCAAGTAAAGATATTTTGTGATGCAAATCGCCACCATATGTTGATAATTTATAGTGTTAATTTTATAGTATTGACCTCCTGAGGTTGCTGCAGATTGTGTTAGGATGATCTCGTTCATGCGATGGTGGTGGCCGCACATCCACTTCAATTTGGGGTCAAGACTTCGTTGTTATGTGCTTGCACATCCACTTCAATTTGTTACCGAAAGCTGAAACTACTAGGAACAAGCTCTTCAAACTTATGATGAAGGATTTGGTTTCAGGTAACCGCTTTAAAGAAAAGTTCTTTAGTTAAACAAGAAGCTCAAATATGTTTACTTCTATTTAGTTTGGTATCTCGCAGGCCATCAAATAAAGAAAAATGCTTCCCAGGGAACCTATTCTGTCAAGCTTAATAGTTGAACCATTAGCTTGATTTCTTCTAAAAAAGCATTTGATGCCTACTAATTTATGCAGTTTTAGATGGTGACAGCAGTTTTTAGACTTCAACTCGTTTGAAAACTTCGGAAAACTTATATGCGACTTCCAGTCTGCTTCCTCCTGGGCAAGTCAAGTTCGCTTTTGTGTTGTCCTGCTTCCGTAGTAATGTGGAGTAAATGTTAAACATAATACTAAGACAATTTTTCTGATGCTTTCCTGAAAAGATGTTCCAAGTTCATCAGGTATTCATTCAGCAATCTTTTTATGCAAGCTATAGCATTCTTGTATGGATTATAAAAGGCTTATTCACAACATGTTCCAAAATATTCTTTATCTTCAGTGGAATCATAAGATTTTTCAGAGTAGATTACTGTATAAAATTTGTCATATAGCCATTATTTTGCCAGCGTCTTTATGCCTGAGTTGCGGGACTACATGTCCCACCTCTTTTATGTGTTGCACATGTCCTAAAGCTAGAATGACATATTCAAAATCCCAGGCTAATGCACAATCAAGAAAAACAAATTGGAGGGAGATTTTTTAGAAAGAAGGTACCATAGCATGGTTGGCAACACATGCTACTCAAACAGAAGTGAGGATTCATTGATCTTTTGTCTACCACCAGGCCACCAAGTGCTTGAAGACTTTTCAACTCTACAAAGTTGAAAAGTTGACATTTTTAATAGGTGATGGCTGCTACTGTTGTGTAATGTTGACATTTTGAATCTAGTGAGTTTGTTAAAATAATTAGCAGCCAACTTTTATAGGCATTACATGCATGTAAGTGCCCCATTAGTCAACTAAATGAGATAAGTTAAAGCCTCAACAGAATCCAGCCTATTATTTGTGCTCTAGATCCTCAGATGGCCATTTGTTTTATATCAATCGAGGATGTTCTGGTTATGGTAAATTACATTATTTTAATTGTTCTCAAAGGCAAGATGGTGAGTCATAAATGATCATACTGTCACTAGGTCTACAGGTCTTTGGATACCCAACATGGTCCCTTTTGTTCTTGACATAGCAGTGCTTTCTTATTGATGCTTGTTCTGGAACTCAGAAGACTAGACTCCATTCAATATGCATCTTCTGACAGCATGGGAACTCTCATTCTGGGGCCTCATCCTGGACCTTATCTTGCTGAGAACATAATGACAGCCTCTTATCAACTACTTGGGATCTGTTCTCAATCATCATCTCTGGTATGAACAAAGAACGACCGCAAATGGAAGACCAGTGAGAAGCTGTGTGTACTGTGAGGCCTACCAAGGGTAAGATTCTGAATAGTGTCATATTAATGTATTGATCAGTCGTCGATATGATAGAGTTATATCGAATATATTAACACATGGTACATTAACATGTACTGATATATCATCGATCTTTTATCGGATCGATATATACCGTCCATATCGAATGGTAGTATAAAGGATTGCAACCCTAAGGGTTAATATTAAAATTTTATTACTTATGTTAACACTAAGGACTCTTTCTTTTTGTGCAGTTTATTAAAACATTTAATATTAAGGACAATTAATTATTGATTGTGTTGTTGATAGGTGAGAATTAATACTCTGTTAGTATAAAGGATGTAACACTTTGCCAGCATAGTAATTCAGGAAAATGCAATAATTTTGTGGACATGATTTGACTTCTATCACAGTATATAACTGTATAGATTCTAAACTTGCTTGACCAGGCAATTGTATGAATCATGCATGCTATTTTGACTAGCCTTTGTTAGCAGCAGGTTGTTACTACCAAAACCAAAGACAGGCTTCTCCAAAATATCTTGTTTCCTTTCTCATGTTCTTCCCCTGCCATCACATTTATGTACCTCTTTTATGCCATCACCTTGTACTCTTCTTCCTCATTTTCTTGGTCTTATTTAAAGAACAAAGTACTGTGCAACACACATTTCAATAGAGTGAGGCATACAATGATAATGGGATAACATGTGGAAGTCACTAATTAAAAAGAGTTACATTTGCTTCACATAGTTCAAAGAGATTGTTCCTTTTTTCTCCAATCAATGTCAGAACAGCTCATTACATCATGTTTTTTGTTGTGTAATCCCTTTGATATTTGAATTCTGCTGCATCATCCATGTAAGCATGTGCATTTGTTGGTTATATACATATGTACATATAGAACCCTGTAATAATCACTGCAAGCTAGAAAATAATATATATGATGCAATTTGGAATATCCAGTAATTGACACTTTTATTCCTTTTACCAATTCCTTCATCAACCTCACTCAATTTTAACTCTCAGCAGGATTGTTCTTAGCACAATAATTCCCAAGAAGGGTATACTAACCAGCTTCATCCAGCTGCTGCTGCTGATGCAGAACGATCTTTCACAATTCAAAAAGAGTTCTTCATGCTTCACCAATGACATTGATCAAACAGATTGTGCTGATGGCATTCTTCCTCAATGAAAGCTGTGGTGGTCTGACCATGACCAGAAAGCAGATTGATCTTCCATGCTGCACAACAGGTTGCTTAAGGTGCCCTCATGTCCACCATTCTCAAGCTTGGGGCACTGTGTTTCTGGCCTCGAGGAGCTTTGGAAGATCTGGTCCATGTCTCCCGGCCTAACTGGCTGGAAGAAAGTAGAGCTTTGGTGAGGATGCAGTGGGCTCTTATCGACTGATTGCCTCGAGATATCTAAGTTGATCTCAGAACTGTTCTCACTTCTGTTGCTGCAAGATCCTTCAGTATCTTTGTTAAGGTTGATGAGATCTGATGGTTCTCTGCCTCTAAGAGTCATGATCTGCAACTCACATTCAAGCTGGTTCAGGTCATAGAACACACAGTGCTGAAGGAGTGATGGCTTCTTTTATGATTAATGCAATGAATATGTCACTTGCAGAAAGATTGTGCTTTAGAAAGATGGATATCTTAAAATTGTTCCCGTGAGTTCCAATTAGCTATGATCAACCCAAAAGCCATGCAAGTACATGTCCAATCTGCAAAGATATCTTTCTCAATAGACCAAGAGCCATGCATGCAGCAATGATGACAAGTAAACATGGCTCCTTTTTCCCCAAGATGCAATTATATGTTCATAAGCTTCAGATAAATCGGAGACATGATGAGAATTCAGCAGTACCTCAGCTTGGAGTTGATTGTTGTGGGCTTTGAGAGCTTCGTTCTCAGATTTGATGGCCTCAAAATGCCTCTTGAGCACATCATAATCCTTCTCCAGTTGCTTCGTCTTCCACCTCGCCCTTCTGTTCTGGAACCAAATGGCCACCTGCCTCGGCTGCATCCCCAGCGTTCTGGCCAGCTGCATCTTCCTCTCGGGCTCCAGCTTGTTCCCCAGCTCGAAGTTCTTCTCCAGTGTCCTCACCTGCTCCACGGTGAGCCTCCTCTTCTTCTCCCCTGCTTGCGATCCATCATCCGACAGGTCCTCCTCGGCGCTCATCTCTCTGCAGGTGTCCATCCCGGAGAAGGACACAGATCTCTTCCCCACCATCGAAGCCGTACCTGCATCCAACACCACCACCACCGAGAGCGTCAGTTCCATTCGGAGGACTTGGGAATGGGTGTCATCGCGAACGCGCGACTCACCTCTGAGGTCTTGGAGATTGGTGCATGGGGAAGGTGTGAGGAGTTGGTGTTCTTCTTCATGGGGTGTTTGCATCTGCAACATGAAGCCATGATGGAAGAAGGAGGACGCCATGCCTTTGCAGGCCTTTTTCGTCGCAGGTTGAGGGGATCACCAGCACGAGGACATGGTGATAGGGAAAGCAAGAGATTGTGAGAAGAACAAGGTGGAGATTCAGATGGATGTGGAGAGATCAGAGTACCGAGAGCTGTAGGGATGCACAGTACTTCGAAGGTTATCGGCAGGAGAAGCGATATATATATATATATATATATGGAATCAAAGGGGTGTTTAACAAGACTAGAGAATGATTCTAGTAAATCCATGGATAGTAAAGCTAACATGAGTGCAATTAATTGTAAGTAACTTTGGTTGATTTGAGAAGTCCTTAATGAGATGAATTTCTTAGTAAAATAAGATTTAATTCTTATGTTATGAATTATTGGATATGAATGTCAAAGTCTTGAATAAGAAATAACTCAGTCCGAAATATGGTAAATTTATTATGTTTAAATTTAAAAGATATCATATTTATAGGAAGAAAATGAGGGAGTCAATTTCAGTTAGCAAACTTTTATTGCTTATGATATGGTAGATATTTAAAGTAAATAAAAATATATATATTTCAAAAAGGTTCTTTTTTTTTCCTAATTTTTCTTCTTTTCTTCAGTGGAATTATCTTTATAGAAGACAGATGTTTCTATCATCTTTGTTCTTTTTCCTCTTTGCTTAGAGTGGGGGTTCTTTTAATTGAAATGTGGGTTGACATAAAACAACAGAATGACTGAACAGTAATTGGAGGGATGAATTTATCAGATGCACAAGTTTACTTTGAGGATTTTGGGTGGTGGCTTGGAGAGAGAGAGAGAGAGAGACATATCAGGAATCTTAAGGGATGGGTCCTATGGGTTGCAAGGCTTGCTACCTAACCCACAAACATCTATCATGCAATCTTGTTTGTTTCTCAGTGTCACCAATCTCTCTCTCTCTCTCTCTCTCTCTCTCTCTCTCTCTAGCAGCAAACCTAGCTCCAAAAGTAGGGATGAGTATTTATTTTTGTTCTCTTTTTATTTCTTTTAGTTTATTTTTCCTTGGGCCCTCTGCGGCCAGCTATATGCCATTGCCAACTCCCACCCTGCCAAAACCCAATCATCATGTTCCTGTCCTTGCCTTCTCCTTCTTCTGCCCTCACCACATATCCCTCTCTCTCTCTCTCTCTGTCACTCTGTCACCCATGGAAGTCCATCTCCCAACATTCCCAGGGCCACCCAATTCACAACCATCCTCTCAGGGTAATGGTAATAGCATGACTTGACATCCTAGCTAACTCTACCTCACTGTTCCTTACCCAGGAAGTCATGTCATATCAATGATTAGAGGGTGTTACTGAATCCAAATTCTTCCATACGTCTCGAAGAGAATAAATGTAAAGGGTAAGTAAAAAAAGATGAATTTTGCTATCAAAAGTCGTAAATTTTTATTTTCTAAGATAACTAACATCTTTAATAAAAATTTATCATTTTAAAAATCAAAACCTTAACATTTAGTAAGTCGAATACATCATCGTTAAGATTAATAATTTCGATGAAATACTCGTAAATACTATCGATCCTTATAGTCGTTGGGTGGAAATTACACGACTAATTAGTTCTCTAATAACGTCGTATTAAGATATATTTTGTGAAACTAATTATTACCGATCAAATTTCTAAAGCACTGATCAATCTGCTGATGATGTATTAAAATGCACTGATCAAAGGTGAAGGATTTAAAATATTATTCAATAATTTTTTAATATAAAATATCAATTGGCCAATGATATATTAAATCGGGTTATATATATTATACTTTCTTATCAAAGAATTAGGGTTTTGAAATCTCATGCAACAATTTTTTGAGGAGTTACTAAAGTTTTAATCTTGAGATAAAATCTCATCCTCCCACATACCCTTTGCAAAAGATGATGAAAATTCTGGGCACATATGAAGCATAAATTGACCAATATCACTTTTCTTGAATCACAATATTAATGGGCTTTTGGGCCTCTAATGCATGGTCTAATTGGCCTATATATGCTTTTAAATGGGCCATGTGTGGCCCATTATCCGCCATGGATTGATCTCCCATTCCAAGGAAGCATGTCGAGCGAGAGGCAATACCATTGCTCTCGCTCGATTCATTTGTTGGGAAGAGGTTTTGCCTCAATACATACTGATACAGTAAGTAAGAAGAAAAGTTATCTTTAGAAAAATCTTTATGTTTCATTAATTCTTGATTTTGTCTTTCCAATTGTGTTCATGGCCCAAACTTTCTCTTCACTGTTCAGAATCATTTCTCAGGAACAGATTGATAGGTTGAACAAACAGAGAATCGACTCTCTTTCTCTTGATAAAAACATAACATCGATCGATTCTGAGGTACCAAACACTTATTTACATCTATTTGTAGGACCTATCACAAACTCTCTTGGCCTTTAATGCAAAGTATTATCGTTAGATTTTGTAGCCCTTTATAATTATATAAGATATACAATCGAACTAATTGAATTCTGATGACAAATATTGACTAATAGAAAAGAAGTCCATATTATAATAGGATTCCTTAAGGGATGTCATTGATGGGAGAAACTCTCATAATAACTTATTCTAGACCCTCTACTCATGTCTATAAATAGACATTATCTTTAGGAACTGGATGATGTATGTTATGCATCTCATACACAAGTGACTTTGCATAGAGTCTAATTTTCCTTGCAGATTGACAGTAGTGTTAGATCTAAAGACAGTGCCTTTGTAAATCACACAGCGATCCCTTTCAGATGACATCAAAAGGTACGTATCGTAAAATAACTAATCTAATGTTATTTAATTTCAATCATAGCATAAAATTTTTTTCGTATTATATATAACATATAACAGTTTTTATGCTTACAATTACTTCATAGACACAAGAGCTTTTACCGTTGTTCCTAAATGACCAACATAAGATTAAGAGTTATCAACAAAGAAAGCTCATAATGATCGCAGCTACTAATGTCTATGTTGGCGAGCAACTAAGAGAGAGTAGTTGCCATCTTCTTGCACTAATTATATTCTATTTTGTCTTCTGCTTTCCGACATAAATTAATCAATAAGAGTTTGATGAGTCCATTAACTTATATCAAAGCATTTTAGGTAAAGTCTTAATATGTACTAATGCTCAATCATTATATTATATATATATATATATATATATATATATATATATAGAGAGAGAGAGAGAGAGAGAGAGAGAGAGAGAGAGAGAGCACTTTGGTTCATTCAATAAAAATGGGTCAAAAATGCAGAAAAATGAAGTGATTGTTGATTAATAGGCAGTTTTATTAGCTATAAGTTTTCACTGCTCCAACTAGAAATTCAAGTTTAATTATAACCATACGACATGTCTGTCACTCACTCATTTTTTAAAGAGTTTTTTTTTATCCAAAAGAAAAATTATTACTATAGTAATTTCTTATGGTATAATTTATGCCCCTCGAAGCACAAAATAAATACATAGACATGATAGACTTGCCTAAAATAGTCTCTAGTGTACATCCTTGAACCATTTAGGGTTTCACCATCAAGATGTTCATGCAAGGAGGAAGAAGTAAATCCAAGCAGGAGATAAGTTCCATTCAACATGCTATTAAATCATATTTATAATGGTGGAGGCGTGTATCATTGCATGCATGCACTGATTCAGATCGAAGTAGTAGATGCAGGCCATTAAATGGTTCATCTAACCCTCACCCTGCACTTCAATTCTCATCTGCATTTGCCTGTGCAATCATGTCAGTTTCTTTTCCATTCTCATATAATGTGTGTACCAATTTTCCATCTTTTAATGCGTAGTCTATCTCGCCATGAATCCATTGTCTCTCCCATTTATTAAACCTTGTACTTCCATCTCATGTTCACCAGCAACCCAAGCCATGCCATGCAATGCAATGTGTGTACATGGAGAAGATGAAAGAGGGTGGATGGTCAGACCTAACAGCCGCATGTTGACGAAGCTTCGCTGAAGGTCCCCCGTGGCTTGATGTAAGGCCGCCTGCCTGCATGCATGATTGATGCCGCAGGCCGATCGAGTCCGCTCGCTCTCTCCCTTGTTGCCATCGAGGGCCACTCCCATGTCTCCCTTCCTCTTGTCTTCTAGAGTTGGAATGCCGTCCATCTGTATCAGCTAAACAACAAGCGTGGTCTCCTTCTCCAGCCCTGGGGCTCGAGCTGCAGGTTAACTCCCGCCTGATGTCTATCTACCTCTGAGCTTTAACTTCGATGGAAGGGCGCAACCGGACCTAATAATTAGGCTGTGGGCCTCCCGACCAAGCCCCGTGATTCACCCTACCGCCATGCACCACCGCGATGTGGACGCACCGATGGTCTCCAGATGCCCCGGTCGCCGTCGGCAGCTCCTCCGGAGAACGACCGAGCTGCCGCCGTCCTGTCACCCAATCTCATGTCCCGCTCTGCAAGGGCCGCCGCACGTCGCCATCTCGGCCGATCGGGCTCGCGTGATGCGTGGGCGCTTCGTGCCCTACTCCATCCGAAGCCGCAAGCCGCAAGGTTAAAGCAGCAAGAGAGACACGAGGCATCTTTCGGGTACATGGTGAAATGGTTAAACCATGCATCACCCAGCCGAGGCGTCATCAATGCTTCAGTCCCTCTTGGTTACACTGACATGCAAGGAAGGTAGCCACACTTGCTGCCGCCGTTGGTCCATTGGCCAAGGGCAACAAGAAGGACCCACCGTCGGTGGCACGGTGAGACATGTAGGCCACGGAGTCTCCTCTCCATACCATTACGTTTGCTGAAACGTTGCCTTCCGAAGACGCTTCTACATTTCTCCCCTTCCCTTTCTCCTCTCCGCGCTCTATAAGTCCTGTACTTGACTCCCCCCCGACGGAGGAGAGAGAAAGAAGAAGGTTTATGCCCGTGGAGATGTCGAGCCGGAGGTCGTCGTCGAGGATCAGCGACGAGGAGATCAGTGAGCTCATCTCCAAGTTGCAGTCTCTGCTCCCGGAGTCTCGCCGCAGGAGCATGAGCAGGGTAAGCAATCCAGCAGCCATAACGCCAACGCGTCAGTCTCTTTTATCCGCCACCATTTGCGACTGCCTGCCTCACGTCGCCTCTGTGTTTGATCCGTGGACGCATATACATATATATGCATGCAGGCGTCGGCGGCCAAGTTGCTGAAGGAGACGTGCAGCTACATCAAGAGCTTGCACCGCGAGGTGGACGACCTCAGCGACCGGCTCTCCGACCTGATGTCGACTATGGACTCCGGCAGCCCTCAGGCCGAGATCATCAGGAGCATCCTCAGGTCCTAGGTTGATCTGTAGTCCACTAGTATTCTCGTACCATTCCACGGACGAGACCCTCTCGCAGAAGGCTCGGTTATTTGCATCAGCATATGTTACATGTATTATTAGCAAGAGAAATCCTACTACTGCTTGATGATGCCAAAACCCTGCAAGCCGTCTCCTTTCTCTTCTCTTCTCCATCGTAACCTGCCCAAACCTGACATGACAGATACCAGGACACGAATCTTATTTCTGTGCGCAGACTCAAAGCTCAAGTATTCTGACACTTCAACTAATCATTCCATTGTCTCGATCTGAAGGAGGAAGGAGATGCAGCCCATCATAATCAATTAGCCATGCCGATCTTAATGATATATAGAGACTTAGTGATAGAGACCAAATCTTGGACGATTCACACTTCACAGAACTGCTCACAGTATCAAACTGTAGATGATGTTTTACACAGCAAACATGTTGGATCCACAAATATTTTTGGATTTACATAGTTAGTGTGCACCGAGACAAGAAAATCTAGCAAAAGAAAAAAGTCGGTATTTATCCATAGGATTCGATAGAGGAGAACAAGACATTAAAAATGCTTTTAGAATATTTCTTGATAGAATGAGAGAAACATATGAATTCTGAGGTTTATGTTATAGGATGTTCAAAGCGAGCCATGCTAAAGATATAACTCGAGAATGTTTGATCTCATTCATGTGGACTGTTCGATATTCCGAAGAAAAATATTCATCAGATGCTACCTGTAATGCGTTCCGCACCGAGGAATTTTGCTGAGATTACCGATGGTGACGATGGTGATGAGGATGGATGATAAGGTTGGCTCCCAGCTCGGAGCAGAGACAAGGAAGCAATTTGGTGAGGACAGGTCGACAGGGGCGGCCCCGCCGAGCTTCACAATCATGGCGCCCAAATTTAACGGCTGTCGCCCGCAGAGGACGGCGAGCGGCTCGACGAGTCAGCGTCCAGCGGGGGACACCGGCATTAAAGGCGGCAGCCGACTCGTTGTCGGATCACTGCACATGGATTTTTCGCACACCCCATCCTCATCCCTCGCCGGTTTACCGTTCCCTATCATTCCTGATCTGTACTGTGTTCCATCGCCTGCTTCTCCAAGAACTCTGCCGCCCGTAAATCCCGCCACCAACGTGTCTCAATCGCCTTCTGCCACAGTGTCCTCTGAGTACTGCACCTTGTAAAAGTGACTAAGATGTGAAGACCTGGACGGATGTGTTCCTTTGAGATCCTTTTGGCCTTCGGTAAGGGGGAGGGGGAAGGCAAGAAGCAGTAACAGCAAAGCTCGAGAGATCGAACGCTATGAAGCATCGGAGATTAGATGTGGTTGTTGATAGCTTTGGATGTCACATAGAAGAGCAGCAGATACTAATTGTTGTATATGAACAAATACTAGCACGAGCGGAATTAAATAGAATCACAATCAAATAGAATATCAAGATATACGTAGAAAACCCCTTCAATGTGAAAGGTAAAAACCATGAGGCAAACGAGAGATAATCCATTATGAGAATAATGAATATACAAATCTCAATCTCTTGCCCTAAAGCCTAGCAATAATCATAAGAGAATAAATGAGATACAAGGATCACGTCACTGCCAACAATATCTAAAACTTCCCCAAGTAATCACAGCAAGAGTCTACTATAGATTTGATCTAACATGAGATGAGAACACTGCTAAATGATTGAGAACAGCCTCTCTACGTTATTCTTGTTCTTCTCCAACGTTGCTGCCCTATTTATACCTTTTTCTGCTTCCAAAAACATAGCCACCACACCCCCCTAATGTTAATTAGGTTAGATTAAGAGAGGGTAAGCTATGGACTGTCTAAGCCCACTATAGACTGAATTTATGGGTTGCCAGTCCAACAACTATGTGCCAATAGGAGATTCATTTGCTTTGGTTTTAATCCTTGTGCACAAAGAATTTTATTGTGGTAATTGGTAATTTTACTTTAGTTTGAATCACAGCCCAAACAAATATATAAAGGAAAAGTATGTCAAAGTTGAGAAAAGATTGATTAAACATAAAAGCTCAAGGGATAAGTATGGAGTTTTCATCACAACAAGACTCAATAATAGAGAGAAGAGGATTCCTGAGAACAGAAAGAAGCAGTCAATGAGCAAGACAGATGTTAAGCGGCTTATCGCTTTCACATAATAGATAATGCTGATAGGACAAGAGAACAAAACCCAATTGATCATAGCCTATCCAAAAACACAAAAACCAAAACAAGATTAGTGGATTGGGCTTTTTGATTCACTGAGCCCCATATGGGGCTTCACTGATTCTTTCTAATCATAAGATGCATTTAACTTTGTTCTGGTTTTGGATCAATATATTCTAGGAATTCCAAATATTGTAATGAGCTTTAGATGTCCAGTGAATCCAGTTCACAAAAAATCATGCATATCAGCATCTTGTTAAGGTCAGTATTTTCATCAAGCTTTTCTCCTGCAAGAAGAAATGTTTCTTTTTCTCTTTGAATCATTGCTTGCTGTAGAGATTTTCAACCAATTCATCTGCCTTTTCTTCATATTAATCATTTCTGGATTTGTGTGGAGTGCTGTAATGAAGTCAGGACACCTCCATTCTTGAATACATCAAGCAATCAAGAAGAAGGTGTTCAGAGAACCTAATTTCTTGTGCTTGGCTTTCTTCATGACAGCATTGATAGAACTGTACAATGGCTTCAATTAGACTTGCAACACTGCTTTATGTGCTTTGCTTCCTGTTTCATGTGTCATCAGTCATACACTTGCCAAGTTTCAGTTCAGTGTCAAGTCTGAAGAGCTTTTAGAATGCTTGCCAAGTGTTTGGCTCTGAAATCTTTCTCTTATTTGCTCACCATTCTGAAACTGGTCTTACGCTGTGTTGTTTTCCCTCATCCAAAGTTGCCATATGTTGTCCATCATGATGGGGAGCATAACCAGAGGTAGAAATATTCTTGAGAGAGTCTCCGCCATGGAGATGAAGTGGTCCTTCACATGGCGCCGAGCTCAGCTCACACAGATGTCTCTTTTGCATGACTCTGCAGGTTTGGCAGTCTGATGTGAAAGTATTCAAAGCCAACTTACCCATTCATGGCCTAATGAATTGGATGGGAATGTCATGATTTGGACATTGGCATTGACAACTCGCCCAACATTCTGCTGATAAATGCCCAGAGTCTGCATGCAATCACAAAGCCATCCTGTTTTCCCACCCCAGCTTCCTCCTTTAGTGGTGGATTGGCATCTGTTGTTTGAGAAAGAGATCATCTGAGTCTCCACACACTACCAATCTCCAGTCATCCCATCATTCATGGATCACACAAAAGTAATGGAACAGATGTGTCTCAGAATGATGTGAAAATGCAGTCGGCCTAAGTTCCATGTCAGCTCAGATTTGGAGTTGGGTGATCATCACTTGGGGTATCAACTCTTCAATCTTACAACTAGATTGGGAACATATCCATGTCAACCACATGTTTTCTTGTGGTTCAATTGATCTGCCACATGCTGTTGATTTTTCCAGCTACAAATGCATCATCTCTTTAGTTGAAATGGCACTATTTCCTGTCACCTGGCTGTAGGTAGTGAAGCTCCAAGCTTCATCGCCTATTGATGAGTTAATGTATCGATTGTTTTCAGGTTCTCTTCTTGATGGGCCTCCGTGCTCCATGATTAGACCTCGGTATCACTAATTATTTAGAACTCAACGTCATTTATGGTCCATGTTCTTCATCTATTGAGGAAGCAGAAGTTGGAGATGAGAGGACAGAAGAAATTTCATGACCTTGCAACCAATACATCAGTTCAAAGTAATCCGAGGTCCATTGCATGAGCTATAATGTCGCTCTGAACACAATGAACTGAGCTGCTGTGTTCTGTGGTTGTGGAAGAACAGAGGCAAATGATTGAACCAGCACAAATGCTCTTCATTGTGTTATCCATCCACCAGTATATATCTACTTGATTCTTGTAGAGGCTAAAGGTGATATCAAACAGGAGATATATATATCAGCATTATGATCAGGAAAGATAGGTAAATGAGAACTCTCTACTTCATGTTTTGGGATGGAGCATTCATCAAGTTCCTGAAATTATTTGACCTGTAAACCCTTCTACAGTAACTATTTGGCAATATGTCACATTGAACACAAAGTCTCATCCACCTCAAAGCCTATATAAAGCACCACCCGGGCATGCCAAATGCATCATATCCTGGTTTCAGATAAAGATTCTTCCTCTCTCCCTGCTAGCTTCTCTTTGAGTGGAGGTCCAAACGGATGCAGGTTTCTCCTTCTGGAGCTATTCCTTCCCTGCTCAACTATTTAATGATGCCTTTGCCTTTAGAGAATGATGCATAATTAATCTTTGATTTAGAGTTGTCTTCCTTTTGGATACATCTCAATAATTTCTTTCGATCATTAATCTTAGATTCTGTAAATTAGCATCGAACATACTTCTTCGTTTGTGTCCTTTCTGTTGAGGTTTCTTGACGCTGCTCTTTGTAAGGTTGAATAGAGACCACATGGCCTCTGTAAAGGTAGCTCCAAAGACTCCCTTTGCTTTCGAGAACAGCACAAGCAGTGCCCGAGATGATTCCTTCTCCACGTATCTGGCGCTTGTTAGAGAGAGCTTCCCACCGGAGATCGGTAGTCCCACGCCAGAAAGCTTGTCGTGTCAAGTCATCCTAAATAGGAGGAGAACTGCCGACGGGGAGATCGAAATCTTTGATGCGGAGAAGTACTTCAGCGGAGTCATGGACGGCGATGCGCCACCCGCGCCGGAGAACGGTCTCGGGACGCCGAGTAAGAAGGAAGTGAAGGTGAGGGTGAGGTCTAGGTCGAGGGCCGGCAGCACCAGCTCGGAGACGAGCTGCAACAGCCGGAGTCAGCTGCTTCGTGACTCCCGCAAGCACCCGATCCCCTGCGGGCAGAGAGACGCGAACAGCAAGAGGTTCCTCAGCGTTTTCCCGTGCCCGTGCTCCCGGAAGAACGCCACCGACGTCGACAAAGAAGCCTTATCCGATGCTAGATCGGACAACCTCAAGAAGCAGCTCGTGCAACATGGAGAGAGGTGTGGTGGAGATGACCACCTCGTGAGCGAGCTGACACTGAAAAGAATCAGTCCCGGTTTGATCAA